GTCCTTTCCATCCAAAGATCTTAGCGGCAGCATTTTTTGCTTCATAAAGATGGTCTTCCGCTTGAACCTTACCCAATTGCATTGTGTACTCAGAAATAACACCACTTACTTCTTCAAGAACACTTTTCAGCTTCTCACAATCCTCACAATTCACGTTGTGGCTATGACTGCATACTTTCTGAAAGTCAGTGTTACCAGCATCGCTCAGTGCAAAGACCCTACAGTGATCGGCACATTTGCTATCGTCCTCTTTGCAGTGATTACGGTATGTAGTCTTCAAATACAACTTGCTCTCTTGAAGCCTCTTCCAAACTTCTTTACACCAATCCTTTTCCGCTCCCACGCGTTCCAGTTCGTCTATAATTTGGAGAAAATCCTTAAAACCATCCACTCCCTCAGCTGCAGTATTGTCTAGACCCCGCAATGATTTCCTCTGTGTGGCCCCTTGAACTTCTAGTACTCTCCACATCGTGGATTTACTTATCGGTTGAAATCCAGTTTGTTTGCAATGGTCCAAGTATTGATTAATGATGGTGCACTTGGCCACTGTGCGCACCACGTTAAGTATGACAAACTCTTCACCGTTCTCAAGTTTTATGGTGCGAGTACCGTAGGCTACGTCTTGATAGTAATATGGCCTCATAGTGAACTCTGAGAAGTGGTCTAGCTGACGCTGTTGTATACGGATTCTATGACGCGGGATTTTTTCAATGGGCACTCCAGGCCCCTCACTCTTCGCCTGTGCTCTTGCCTTCTTTATTTGTCTATCGGAGAGGTTTTCAAATGGCTGATGTATGCGTTTAAGCTCGTTGGCTGAGAATCTATCAGTATAAATACTCAGTATTTGAGTCTTAAGTGATTTTGTGGGAGCATTCTGATAGGCGACCATAAGGGTTTGAAGGCCAACATCAATAGCTGTCTTGCACTTCTGTTCATGGTCTACGACTGCTTGGAATAACGCTTTACCATCTCTGGGAGCTACGAAATCGCACACCAGCTGGCACGCTTCCCCGGCTTTTTGCACAAATTCAGATTTTTCAGTAAAGGAGCATTTTCTCAACAATCTACTTGGGATTCCAGATGTGTAATCCTGAGTTTTGGTACAGCATCGGCGAGGCTATCAATGCATGCATTGAAAACTTGAATTGGATCTTGGACGTTTCCGCTCGTTGGTCTGAAATCCTGTATTTCTATACTTTCGTCAAGCGCCAACACGGCTGAAGGAGTCCACATTTCGTCATTGGTGCTGTGGGATAGCCTGGAAGAACTTGGTGTAATAGGTGAGCTCATGGCTAGTTTGAACTTCTCTAGAACGGCATCTTTGCTTGGCCTACGATTAAAGATATCAAGTTTTAGATGAATTTGTACACATAAACTAGGTAACATGCTTTCAAAGTCAACTGGGCGCGAGTGATTAAACCTAGCACGCGCGAGCGAGAAGTCACGCGAGAGAAAGACATGGCGTCTGTTCTCTCAGATGCTTACTACAGGCTTTTCGCCTAGAGCCTTGTACGCAGGCTAACTGTTTTAGCACTAGGCACATCTCTTTTGTAGTTTACAAAATATCTACAAAAACTGAATCGAAACAAACAGATGTACCTTTCGGTGTGTCGTGCAATTAACGTAACCAAAAGGCAATTACCTCGAGATCCCTGATACAGGCAAAACTCCAGTAAGCTATGATTAATTTCTAAAGTTATTGGTTAATAATTACTGCCCGTAGAGCATTTTCTTATTGGAAAAGGGTTATGTATCTCAGCTTATGTACACAACCGCATGCATCAATATCAAACGCTTTTTATTCGCACAAACTCTTTTACCTCACATAAACGCAGGAATCACTGTCTTCTTCCTCTGTGGATTCCAAAGAGACCCATGGCATTTCCTTCACAGAAGCATTGTGCTTGTTGCAGCAGTTAATACAAATAACTGGACGTAGGAAAAAGTGGATTAATATACGAACGAGCGATTGGGGAGAAAACGGGAGAGATTGGTTGAAATCAGCCACTTCAGTATCTTAAATCACTTGTTCCTACCTGAACCTACTTGAACGAGAACGCCATACATCTTAGAAATGGCCTTTGACATTTCCAAATTGACAGAATACCGGCTCTTTGCCCCTTTGGAATCGCTACCAGGGTGTGTCGGATACTGGCACGCTGATCTTTGGCGCCAGAACTTCCCATAGGTGTGCCTATGCTTTGGACAGACCAACATTTTTGCCATAACTGAGTCATCTATATCGAACAGGCCAGCCCTTGCTAGGATAAGCTCTCCTTCCGTGACACTCTCTTTTGACAAATGGATTAAGGAGAGATGACTCTCTACTGAGTCAGTACACTGAAGTAAATTAAACAACCCGGAAACTCCTCGTGAGTCTCCGCACGAAGTTTCTAAGGAATGCGACAGAAAGCAAGACATCTTATTGTGAATGCTGCTTGAAGAAATTAGTGTTATTAATCAAAAGCAAATCAGTACCGAAAGAAGCAACTGAATTACAGTTAATAGGATTACGCACTTTACAACATAGATATGGCTTAAAAACGCGGAGTCCTTTTCCACAAGAAAGTTCTAAAGTTATGAATAGAAACTGTCATAGAGTCATGTGTGCAGACAAAATTTTCTCTAATTCCTACCGACTAGAATTCTGAGCCAAAAGACGATGTTATCGCTGCTTTATCTAGATGGGAGAAGTAATTCAGGATAATTACACAATTGAATTACGTGACAGAGTCACCGGTCACGGTATATTTTAGCGTGCGCTGTTATCGCCAGTTGCACAAAATAAAATCCTGTAGTTTGGTTCCAAAATGTTCACACAGGTTTGAATAGCGTAAGCTGTCAGAACTCAAATATGAAATAACAGAAGCCAATTTTTAAAAAAGAGTTTGCCATTAAAAGGTTGACTGAGCGCTAATCAAATTATGATATTCGATACGTTGTTGTTGACGTCTTTCGTCACGAGATAGAAAAATTTGTCAAATTTTGGCCTCTTAAAATGTTTAGAGCATCAATCAGTGTGGTCTAAAAGCTCTGTCCTACTATATTTTCAACTTAAAATGGCCAAAATCTAAGATTTATTGAGCTACTTATATAAAACGGTCGGAGTTTGCTCAATGAACTAATTTGCATAATCGGCTGTCACGCTAGCAAAATCGCTAAAAGTTTTAAGTCACCACGGCGAAGAAAACCAATAAGTGCAAGATGTTTTTATATTTTTCTGCTGCCAAACATCTTATTAGAAGAAATCAAGATGAGTTTTCAATGGTCTAGTCTGGACTTGAGCAATATCAACCAAGAAAGAAAGAGTACTTTTGACCAATTTCAGAAAGCTGTCTAACGTGTGTTGTTAAATAAATCATGACGAACCTCTGAATAAACGAATATCAAAATTGAAATGCTTTTTATACACCTTACATATCACACAGTCTAAGAATACAAAAGATCTTTTGCTGCATGCGGTGTGATACGAGGACCGGGCTTTTTAACTTTTGAAATTTTCGATGTCGCAAGCGGTCAAAAAAGGGCCTTTTGCAGCTTTGACTATTGAGAGCTCTAAAAATTTTATTTTAACGTATTTCCAGAAACTAATGTGGTTTTATTTATTCACTACCAAAGGTAGATTATTGGGCAAAGTTTGAGGGAAAACTTTATTCCGATGCGAAATGCCCTGGACAGCTTTTACAGAGGTCGCCTCTTAATCGTTAATTTTTTTCGAGGCGTGAGCTTGCGTCGCCTGTGACAAGACAATTGCGTAAACAATACTTGACATAATAACATTATACACAAAAAACATAGGATTTTGGATCGTGTATTTATTAAAAAAGAATATCCATACAATGAAAACAAACATAAGATTCACCTTTCTGATCGTGAAATTAGTACCACTCGCACTTTTATCGTAGCTACGTTCCCTGGCATCAAGTGAATCCAACATGCCGTCTTTCTTCACTATCGGTTTGCATCCATTAGAGTTTTGTTCTTCAGTCTCACGGTAGGAGTGTTGTTCAACAGATTGCATAGAGTATATGCAGTTTGGTTTCAGATTTCAGATTTTGCTTTTCACAACAAGTGTACGTTTTTCAACTAAGACATTGTTCGCGTTCGCGACTCAATCCATTCCAAAATTACCGCTCAATAAAATCTTTAAGTGTGGATTGGCCGCGAACAATACGACTTGTGTATGCGTCCGTAAGTATGTTGAGCGTTTGCGCCGTGATGCTCCGGGTAATCGTGATCCAAACACGTTGAAATACAAAACGACTGACAAAAGAGTTTTATAGGCAAAAATCTCGTGGTTCGTCATGTGACCCGAACCTGTCCGTGCATGACAACGTCAATCATCACCAAGATAACACGTGATCAGCATGTGAACACCTTCACCCTCATTGGATCACAGTTAGTTGTCATGGTGTTGAGGGCCCAATGACCACTGGGTACTATTGCGCAATTTTTCCATTTTGTGGCGGAGGAAAAAAAAAAAAAGACGACAAAAAACAAAGGCATTTTATGACTGGGCTACCACAGGTATTCCAATAAATAGTATGAAGAACGAATATGGTCGATTTACAACGATGAATATTTCGAAATATGAACATTTTACACGTTAAGTGAACAGAATCTACTTACATCTTGTTTTTCCGTTGTGGTTTCCGGTGTTCTTTGCCGTTTTAAGCTTGCTTTACCATCACTGTTATTCACGTCATCTACTTTTATTACGTTGGTAAAATCTGTACAGACATCACACCAACCAACTCGTGCGCAAAGTAAGAAGACTCTATTGAAGGCTTGAAATAATACTGCGATCGATTTTCATCAAGAAATGGGCCAGGAATATTCCACAATAGTGCAAATAATCGTGAAGGGGGATCGCAGAAAAGCGATTGCGTGACGCGCGGTAAGCTGTAAGATGACATGTTATTATATGCCATCAGCGTCTCTTTAATCGAGATCTCGATTATTCATCAAAACGGTACAAGGAAAATATAGCAATGCCTAAGTCAATCTGCCATTTGCTCAATTGCAATTCCGGGAAAGCACTGCTTAATGAAAGTGATAAGCTCTTCCATTAGAGACGGGCCTCCCTCAGTCCTCCTCAACAGATCTTGCAAGTGGCCCGCATGGAACCGGGGACGACGTTTGCACAGACATGCTATGTTAATATGGTAGTATCTTCTTTGTGCTCTTCCTAACTTCCAACATTTGGTGCCATCTAAGTGAAGGTTTGGATACCAGTCCACCTCTAAACGTCCAATGACCGCCATGCTATCAACATATTGAGAGTCTTTTTTGAAAGCTTCCTTCACATCCGTTATATTTTGAAATCTTTCCTTTAAGCTTCATTAAAAAGAAATGATTAGAAGATTCTAGAATGATGAGTCTAGGCGGTAAAGGAAAACCTTGGGGAACGGATGGTGGACGCATACCGCTAAATGAATGCTGCTGCGTAGAAGACATCGCCGGCGACAGCCTTTGGCTAAACATGGATGTCGTAAATGACTGTTGTAACTTCCCTAGGTATCTAAAAGGATGATGTTGGACAGCCCCTCCCATTGTCGTGGGCACGTGCGACACATCGCCGGTCAGGGGAAAAGTCTGATGCTGTGGCTGTAGATCTGTGCCCTGATACAGTAATTGATTGGTCGATGAGTGGGAAGCAAGATCATTTAACTACGATTGTGTTTGAGCCAGAATTGAGGGAAATGATGTTGAATCAAATGGCTGCTGGATAGCTGTTTGCGAAATGGGTACAGTCGCACTCGAAGTCGCACCTAAAGAAGCACTTGAAGTCGAACTTGAAGTCGCACTTGTTGTTTTTATGTCTCGAAAAGAGGAGGACATAAGTAGGGAGAAGTCAACATTTTCTCTTGTTTTTCTTTGCCTCTTTGGACCTTGCTTTCGACCAGATGCTCTCGTGTCGATGTTAATAGTCGCTGCTGACGAGAGTCCACCCTTGATCTTCTGTCCCTTATACCATGTGACGAACTTGTCAAGAACACCTTCTTTTTCGGTAACGGCGACAGAGTGCGAACATATTTGTTTTGGTTTCAAATTTCTGCATGTACAGGTCGCTTTAAAGTTTGCATACACTTGAAAAAAATGTGGAATACTCCCTGCTTCAGACATAACGGAGAATGTCCTTATTTTGGAGTCCCTCGAGGGTGCTGGGAAGATGGTGGTTGACTGGGAAAGTATTCTACCAGCTTTCTTCCAGATCCATTCAGCGATGTGGAGATCTAGGCTTCCTGTTATGCAATTATGTGGAAGCGATAATTGTAAGGATGTATCTGCTCTAGACAATTACTTTTTTGTTGACAAGAGGTTGGCATGATGGGAATTTCCAGCGTCAATGGATAGATCATATATCTTCTGGATGTAATCCTTTATTTGGCGTTCGTTCATAGCCCACCACTCATCCGCAGACAATTGAAATCTTTTGAGAGCTAATGTCAACATGCATCAGACAAACAGCAGCAAGTCGCCTAAATTCGTATTCTCTCCTACTTTCATATTTTGTAGCTCAATATGTCCTAATAATTGTGGTGTAGTTTTTTTGTGAAAATATATTTTAGTTTTTGAGAAATGAGTTTTTTCGTTCGACCGCTCAAATATGCAAATTTTCACCCTGAATATTACCCGAGTTGTTCTTAGGGGCCTTTTACATGATATCGGAATGAGTTTTGTTCAAGAACGAGTTCATCCCAGTTGCCACGTGATACCGGAGTAAAATTATTCGAAACGAGTCATTTCTGAATTAGTTTATTGAGGTTTTCATTCTAGAAGGAAACACTTATTCTGGACGACCTTTTGTACCTGTATAAAGTAAACGCGGTACGACATTCATATCTGTATGAATCCTCTTTAGGAGCGAGGGAAGCACAGAAAAAGGACGTAAATACTTGTTTTTACAAGATAAATTATCTTGCATGTAAACGCGGTATGAAATTCATTTCGTTCCGGAACGAAACCCATTTTGGAATAATGTAAAAGGTACCTAGGGGTAAGGTAACACCCCAAACCCCCCCCCCCCCTCGCATCAAAAGTCTAATGGTCCGTCCCCAAGATGCTATCAGGTCCTACAACTTTTTATGTGATGAAAGAATTTAGATATATATGTATTACTCGCATTGTCTTTTTCTTTTATATTGCCGAGCGAATTTCAAGTGATAATTTCAGGAAGTAAGAAGCAACAACAAAAGGATTCCTATCAAAGCGAGGTGCCATTTTCAGTCATACCTGGTCGGACACCTTGAAAACAAAGGATGACACGCAAGCAGTTTACTGCAAATTTGACATGAAAATAATTTTGATGCCTCTTTTAAGATAAAAAAGGCTTGAATAGTAGACATCGCAAGATCTTTGGCTATGTAACAAAAATGAGAATACTTAATGCACTAGAAGTGCTCAGATCGAGTTCTGGATGCACTTGAATAGTCTGTTTAACAAACGCAGACGTACATTTATTTTAATCCCAACCAAATTATGTCAAGACGAACAAAACAAAAAAACTACAGCCGTCCTGCCTCGAAGCAGGACAGATTTTGTCAGCATAAAAATCTGACAGATCAGTGCCCAAAAGTTTTTATAAGTAAATAACCAGTTCACGTGAATTTTACCAGGCGAGACTGTCAGCTCGTAGTTGGCAAATCACATCTTTTGTTTTTAGGTGCTGACAGGGTTGGTGGGGGAAAGGGGGGGGGGGAGGAGGCGATCGGAAAGGGGTGTAGATGCTTGTCGTACCTTTCAGGGATCAAAATCAGTGATCTGGTACCTTTTACGGTGTCTCAAACTCTAGTGGACTACCAGAGACCTAGCTGGTACCTTTTTAGGGTGTTTTTCGCTCAATAAAATACACGAAATAAGCATTACTAGGACGATTTTAATGGTCTGACTTGAACCTCTGGAGCACATCGATAAAGGAGTTCTTATTTTTAGGATTTTTCAATTTTTTGTGTTTAAATTGGTACTTTTTAGGGGTAGATATCAGTTGTTGCCACCTCCACACGGATAAGACTCAGTACCTTTCATAATTTTATAGGGGTCGTTTTCAAAATGCTCGGCGCGCATTCTCGTCCTCTTATGTCTAGGGGTTCCCCGGGGGGGTGCTGATACGTGCAGCACACTTGAAATTTTGCAAGGACAAATTTTGATGTGATTTTCAGTGAAGAGAAAAAAAGTTTTGTCAGCGTCTTGTAGCTACTGCGGAAGGGCCCATTACCACTCTGTGCTTAATTACTAAGTCTTAATTAAAGTGAAGACTATTACATCGAACTCAATCTTATTTTCTAATTTTAACGATTATTAACTGTTGAGGGATCCGAAATAACACCTTAACAATTACGAAGACGTCTAGAGTCTGGCGACCTACAGACAATGCAGAGCCACTCGCCCTCCGGGGCAGTCTTAAATCTCTCGAAGCTCATGTGTAACCATTCCTCGCACAACTCGCACTATACCATGTCGTCCCAACACTCGGGCATTGAACGATGACAAAATAAATAAGTGTCACAAGTTTATCTCTAATTGAATCTAGCAGTGTTCGACTATCGCGGAAAAGGTTCAAAAACGACCTCTCTCCTGACATTAAACTAAATTCTTGCCCATTTTCCCTTAGTCAAAAGAAACATCCGACGGGATGCCACTTCGTATGCATTGACGATACGCATGTTTTGAATTAAAAACATACTTGAGTACGCATTGGAACGTTCAGTATCATCCATTTTTACTAGAACGTTAAGGATGATGTTTTCACTCAGTTTTGTTGGGGGGTCCAAATCCGCTGGGACACCGGCTCGCGACAAAATAAGATCAACTTCAGTTTCTGGATCTCCGCAAGTAACTTGAAATGTCTTTTTTATAACTACTCAAGGGAATGACCTGAGATATGCAACGTCGGTCTTCTCGATAACTATACCCAAAAGTCCCACCAGCGGACGATTTAAATGAATAGCAAATCTCCTTGTTAGCATGTAAGATGAGACGCTTATACAACAGATCAATTAGCTAAATCGGTATGTAGCTTGTCAATCGAATTGACGTTTGTAAACATTATTTGACTTCGCCGGTAAAGGAATCATTGATGGATCTGGACACATTAGTTTTCTGAATACAGTAATTCTTGGAAGGTTTTTATAGATATGAAAGAGGGGAAAAAACCCATCTTTTGGTAATTCGGAAGTTGATTCATCTTTGAATTTATATGTGTCACGCTTGTCATGCAACTGATATATTAATGTGGAGAAGATTTAAAAATGCAAATTAAATCTGGCTAAAATGTGGTAGAGCATAACTTGATCATCGAAACAGCTAATAAAATCATAAATAAACAAGGTAAGAGTGTCATGTTAGATTTATTTACAAACTGTAGTGATTTACACCTGTAAAGAGTAGCGGCAAGTAGGCACACCATGTATATAAGTGCTAGCAAGTAAATTTTGCCAGACTTTGAGTTCATCTCACGATAGAACAACACAATTACACAAGGAAATTTTTACAGTAACTTTATAACCATCCTTTTGTCTTTTAAAAGCTAGACAAAAATATTCACCAAAATATAAATATTTTCTTTGTCAGTTTCAATAATGACAGAGGATTAAGTTTAGATCATGAAGCAAAGGATTAAACCGACAGAAATACCGGAGGTCAAGTAAATTCGTTACATGGGGTCACACAACTCGGGTAATATTCGGGGTGAAAATTTGCATATTTGAGCGGTCGCACGAAAAAATTTCTCAAAAACTAAAATACATTTTCTCCAAAAAACTACACCACAATTATTGGGACATATTAAATGTATGAAAGTAGGAGAGAAAACGAATTTTGGGCGACTTCCACAATATTTCATATTTGTTCGACGGATGCTGACATCCACCCTTAAATTCCTCTCGGATTTCGTATCTCTCAGAGGCTCTAAATAGGGCTACTATGACTTCTGCCTCTTGGTCGTCCTCAATCATTTCTTTGACTGCTTTGGCGAATGTTTTTTACCCATTTCTTTGCCCTGTGTTGTATGTCGATGTCTGGCATTCGTGTTTTCGCTGTCATTTGTATAAAAAATTTATCTGGAGGAGAACCAAGGCCCGCCTTCGCTCGCTCGAGCCTGGGTGAGAAAAAAGTGAATAATACATAATTTTATTTTAAAATTTGATTGAATCAAAATATACTCAACTGTGTACAGGAAGTCTCCAAATGGCTTGAGATGTCTTTTCCAAATCCATTAACCACGATCCCATGATGAAAGAGGGACAGATTCCTATACTAGGTTACTTACCTTGGTCTAAACAACTGTGAATATATGAAAATCATGTAAGTGAACTGCAAATTGAGAGGTGAATATGAAAACAATCTTTGCAGTAATAAACACTACTTGAGCAGTAATGGAAGTAAGGCCTAACAAAAATTCAGGCCTGTACTGGATTTCAACCCGTGACCTTGCCATACCAGTGCACCCGTATCACAGAGGCCTGAATATTTTTGAGGCCTGAACATTTTTCAGGCCTTGTTTTCACAACTGCTCAATTAGTGTTCATTACTGTCAATATCGCTTTCATATTCTTATACCTAAGTCTGGTAAACTAAACAGACCTGGAGTCTGCGCAACATCGCTACTGCTTACAGTGATTTCATGTTCCTGGAACCACATAGTCAAGAACGATTTGTGAGCAGGGCTTCATGGATCTTTTCTACGATCTGGCACACCTCATCCACATATGTAAAGTAAGTACCTCCCAGCTCTCGACCAGCCTCAGTGTAGACTGTTACAAGAACAAGGCCAGCTTCTTGGGCAGCTGGAATGGAATGAAAACTATTTTTTTTTCAAGCCAAACCCCTACTCTCCTTATAGAGTAAGAGAATGACGAAGATGCATACAGATTGACATAGAGACACATTAACCAAATGAAAGACAGACAGAGAATCATAAGAGAGTGGGTTCACTACAATAAGCTACACTAGTGATCTACAAGGAGTAAAACTGACAAACAATTAACTTACCTGGAATAAACCCAGAGAAAGTGTGGGGATTGGTCTTCTCCAAACTGGCATTACCAACTCCTTCAAAGCTTGCCACACCTTTGGAGTCGCTTCCAGGCAACGCCTCTTTTAACAGTACGTGGAACTGAAGTCCACCCTAAAAGCAAGACATGTATCAATAACGAAGAAAGATGGTAAATTTTCAGTTTGATGAAGAGTGGGTAAACAATAATTTTTTGTCTTGTCACACTCATGAAAATGAGTATTTCATGAACCTGGTTACTGGAGATAACCTCCACTCTTCTAACAATACTATCACACAATGCAAGTTTATTATTGGTCTTAGTGACACAATTTTCCGTCCAGTATTGTTTTACATCCCATCCAGGGAAGTGTAGAAATACTTTTAATCTCTTCATGCCAAAGATTCAATGGAGACATGCTCAGACAAGAAGAGACCTGGCCATATCCTAATTTTATCCTTCAACTCCTGAACTTGGCAAAACAAGTTTGAAAGCCGGATACCTTTCTCCTTTATTCTCCCTTACATTAAAATGCATGAAAGCTTTTCAAACATATCAGCCAAATCAACAATCTTTGAAACAAACCAAACCTCACTACCAGTGCAAAGAACAAAGTAATGAGTGGGCACATTGATAGAAAAAGAGAATCTACAGCTCACCATAACAACTTTAACTTTGAAATAGCAATCATTTTTCCAAAACAAAAATATAAATCAAAGCTCATTAAATGTTTCATATTCTTAGGGATTAACTTAATTAACCCAAGGCCTCCATGCTGCACCTAGCTAGCAGTTGACAAACACTTGGTTGTCAGATGACCACAGACTTTGTTTTGTTTCGTTCATCTAATCATTCCAGTCATTCGTTGCCCTTCTTTCCCCCAAAAGGCTTAATCCTTATGCCTGATTAAATTTGCAGATCATCATGACAATTTCTAAAATAATAAAATTACCTTCAAAAAGTCTGATTTGGGGGAAATATCTTGAACCACTGCAATAGATTGGAGGGAAAATTTGTAAAAGTAAATCAAAGACATCAACTTTTATTTTTATCAAAATAATAATGCATTTAAACTAGACCCATTTAAAAGATATACCAATATATGCAACATCACCTGATTTGTTCCATCGGATAACAGTGTCTGTTGCTACTCTTAGCCTCCTTAAAGGCTAAATTCTACAAGTTTAGGGACAGGACCCACTATTTGATAAATATATATTTCAAACTTTTTAATTAACCCATTGTAACGAAGTCTCCAGAAATTAATAGAACATTGATTTACCACAACCCTACTGCATAAGCTGAGCTAGAAACTTCTTCATATTCCAGAACATTCTATTGAGTTATTTTAAGGATGTGTCATCATTAGCGTCTAGAATAATAATAAGTATGATGTAATCTGCTACAATAAATAAGGTTCGAGATCGTAAGGTTTTCAGAAATTTAAGATAAATAATAAAGTGTTTAAAAAGGAAAACAAGAATCATCTCCTGACTTCGTGACACCCATAAGAGTGACTAGCATCTAATTTCTCCTTAAAATATCATCACAGAATCAAATTAAAACATTAAGGTCACAAGAACATATGAAATGATCACAAACTGAGAATGCTCTAGATTGCTAAGAAAATGCTCTCTATCAGCACCTTAGGAAATTTATGGAGAACAGTATGGAGAATATCCACACTGATGGTAGAGTGTAAAGATTACTATAAATGAATGATCAAATGATAAAGCTCTGATCAAATCATTTCCCAAAACGAGACCAAACTGTGAAAGCACTTTTACCATCAGAGATATCCGTAGCTTTCTCAAAACCTGTGTTGCTTGTGTCAGGAGCCACACCTTCATCAGGAGACACTTGCAGTTCCCTGTCAGCCTTAATTGCCAGTGTTTAAAAAAAGAGACTTTACATTAAAGGCAAGAAGTGTTCAAACTGATGCTGTAACAATATTAAACATTGCACCTTTTCTATGTGCTATTGGATGATTTCAGTATTACCCAGTACTATTCTACAATAAAGCTATAGTCATGAGGGCAAACTCTTGTTTTTCCAATTTACAGGGCTGTGCAGAAGTTTTGTGTGAAATATCTGCATTCTGTGTTATGTAACTCATGTCAAAGACATACATGTACTTGTAATTCAACAGGTTTTTGTGCTTCAAGGTCGGGATGATTAGGAAAACATTTGAAAGGGCACATATCTCAAACACTTCAGATTTATTCATATTGAGTCATAAGCTTCTGTAAACTTCACACAAGAGAAAACAGGCTTCCAATTTTTATATTAAGTGGATTTCTACTGAAACATAAGGACAAACAATGCACCTGAATCTCCTCCATAACAATGTAAAGGGCTGAATTACCCTTTAGGATTCTTCTTATTGTTTTTCCATCCCATACACGAGGAGGCCCGTGAAATTGAAGAGTACTATCCGTGTTACTGATCGATGCACAAGAAAACCTGCCCAATGAAAAAAAAAAACAGTATTTCTAAAGGTAAATTTTAGTGCTAAGGAATTTATTCTTTTTCTTTCTTTGCCTTCTAGATCATAACCCTAGAACTGGCCATTAAAAAATCAAAGCTTGAAATGCACATCAACAAAATCTTGAGTTTCCTTTGAAAATACTGGATCAATCTGTTATCAGTTGTGGAGTCAGTTTTACAATTACCTCTGACCTTGATGAATAAACTTTTATTTAACTAAAATTCCTACTTTAAATTTCCTTTACCTTCCACTTAAGTCAAAGGCAGGAAATGTTTCTTGAATTGTTTTCCTCACTGCATCTTCTGACATGCTTTTGGAAAATTGGACGTGTTTTTTATACTGTCCAGTCTTTCTCATTCTTGCCATCTGATTAGTGGTTGGCATAATTATTTTACCATCCCTTTGTGCTAAGTCCTCTTTCTTCAACAACATCAAATTTTTAGCATAAGTGTCACTTCTCATGCCTGCACCAGCTGGAGCTATATGTGTGTCCTGAAGAATGTTTTCTGAAAAACAAATAACGTGTAATCTCAGATAATACCATTTCATTGCATTACCCAACTTCAATGCACTCAAATTTTACGAGTTTTTATAAAAAAATGTTTTACAGACACTACAAATCACAATTGATATGGGTTAACAAACTTAAGATTAAAGTGAAAAATTCATCCTGGGGATAATTAACCCAAGGACTAGAAAAAGAGTCACTTAGAGAGAAGTGCTCCCTCAGCAAAGGAACAGATTCAGTGGAACCTTAATTCAGGGGACAAATAAAAACCACAAAAAGTTAAGAATAACTTAAGCTGGGTTTTCTCTTTCTTAAATCAAGATTACAAAAAAAGTATGTAAAAAAGATGCTTCCCTTAGACGGTGCACCGTTGACAACATACAAAAAGTTAAGAATAACTTAATTATATTAACTATAATAATATAGTTAAATTTCTTATACATTAATCTTTTAATTAGGAATTCTTTATTAATGAATTGCATATGTTCAACAGTAGAGGTAAGGTGTGTATAGTAGACTGGTTTGTAAAGCTACACAAAATCAGCAGTTTTGAAGCCTTTTGTAACAATGCTACTCCCTTTTGACAGAAGAATCTAAGACAATTTGCTGCCACCTATAATTGTACAGACCAAAATTATTCATAAATGCAAACAGGAAACATTGCTTTGTTAACACCTTACCCATTGGAAGAGACTGCTGTAATGGATTATGCAGGAATAATATTGTATTACTTGGTGCCACAAGTTCTTGCTGCACATTCATGAGCAGTCTTTCATTTGATAACTCAACATCACTTTTCTCAGCGCTTTTTTCAGCCAGCCCTGATACCGAATTTGAATAACTTGAACTGTTTTCAAGTGGATCATCATGTGTAGAAATTATAACAGGAAGCTTTTCAGGGCTTGGTTGAGCAGGACCATCTATTGATGATAGTGACATTTTCACTGGGCTCTCACTGCTTGTCAACTCTCTACATGTTGTAATCTGGTCAAATAAACGTTTAATTCCTAACTGCTCTCTAATGGAAGATTCATATCCCAAATCCTCCACCACCTCTGATTCTCCAAAATCCCCATCCTAAAGGAAATAATACACGTGTCTTGCCATGACATCCAAAATTGGTGACGGCCAAGATATTTGTAATTAATCCCTTCTTTAATTTCTGTAAGAGAACCATTCCATGACCAACACACTTGTCTCTAGTCAAGACTGACACACTACCAACTTAAATAGTGTGAGGGGATTATCCCAACACCCTGGATTTAATGCTACTCAGCCACAGATAACCCTCAGAATTTATTTTTTGAGCTTCCCTGACAAGTTGCTAGTACACATTTACACCCTTGTATGAGTGGAAGGGACAGGGAATTGGGATGGTGCAGTTTTGAATGCACTTGCCTCCCATTTCTGGGGTACAAGTTCATTTCATAAACCCAGTGTCATTTATGGGTAGAATTTTATGTCGGTACTGGTCCTTGCTCCAAGGTTTTTCCCTGAGTTTTCTGTTTTTCCTCCTTACACAAAAAACTAACACTTAGCAAATTCCAATAAGACCTAAAGACGATGGATCGGGAGCTAATTTGTAGGTAATTGTGAAGAAGAGCTCCCCAAAAAACCTGTCGGCCGACTGTCGGTCAACTGTCGGCCAACTGTCGGCCGACAGGTTACCGACAGTCTACCGACAGCTAACCAACAGGTTACCGACAGGTTAAGAAAAAAGAAAAATAATGTGTTAAAAACGAACAGTTAACATGACATAACAATCCATAATGGTGATGTATGACACGACAGACTTCACCTACTTACCGATCGACGGCAAAGTTGAAAGTATGTAAAGATATAGATAAAGGTATATCAGATGCGTATAGGATATATCACTTGCGTAATTTACAACACACCAGACAATCTAAGAATCGCATTGGAAGATAATTTAATCGAAAACTCGGCCAAAAACTCTGAAAACCATCAGCTACGTATCAATACAAACACTTTCGTTCAAATCGCCCAACAATGCAACGCGGCCTCTTATGATGTTTACCTTGTGCATTTGTGTTGCTAACATCGTCCTCTATCTTGCAGGTTTGGGATGAATTGCTATTTCCAATTTCAAGTTTAATAAATGATACAACTGTGAATCTTTTTACTCGTTATGTTAAGTAATAAATTACTATACGCAACAATTCGATAATTAGACTTGGATGCGTGATGCGATAATTGATTTAGGCGCGCGCCGCTAAAATCACGATTCTACGAGTGAAGTATCTTGTATATTTCACCACTCACAAAACGGCTCCTTTAGGAGCCACCAAATCTATGAAAGGCTATTCTTGTCAATGTATTACACATGTTAGATGTTGTATCAAGCGAAAACTGAGAGAAAACATTAAGGTTTGTGTTAACGTTTTACCGACAAGCTACCGACAGGTTACCGACACATTACCAACAGTCGGCCGACTGTCGGCCCACTGTCGGCCGACAGGTAGCCAATATTTCGGGCAAAACCTGTCGGCCGACAGGTTTTTTGGGGAGCTCTTCTTCACAATTACCAATTTGTGGAATCATCACCATCTACAATCCTACTCACTATCTCATGTTGCTCATGTTGAATCTTTTCTATATCATGACCAATACCCCATCTACACCAAAGTTAAACAAGTTTTAAAGGTGTTTTGTTAAAACACTGTTTAGACTCTTTTTCTTTAGAGAAGCTACTTAAACCAATGTTTCTCGTCTTCAAAATTAGCATAGTGAAAATACATGCCATTGAAAGTTAGGGCTCAAACTAGGATGTTTCCATTTGCAGTCTGATGCATTCAAACACTAGACCATCACACGGGGCCCAGTATGGCAACCTTGTCCTTATCACTCCCAAGATTAAAGATCAATTTTCTGCACTGTTTCTCATACATTTCCCAAACTTCTACCCTTAAAAATTTGGTGTTAAATCAAGCAATATCTCTTAGTTTATATTGTTCTCTCTTCTCAACAATTTTATGCTTGAACTGTACAGATACTACTGTATAAGAAGAAATTCCTTTGAGGTCACTCTTGGGAAGAAAAGGGTTCAGGGATCCACATTGCCACCTTACAATCAAAACACAATCATCAGTAAACTTCTACTGATGCCCCTGCTCCCATACCTCTTCTACAAAGATATAAAGAGCTGAGTTTCCTTTGATCACTTTCTTGATGAAGCGTCCATCCCAAATGCGAGGTTCACCATGAAATTCCAATCTTGTTCGATAGTCAACCACTGAAGCACAGTAAAACCTGGGAGAATTAGAATTAGTATTAACACATAGAACTTTGACAAAGTATTTGGACTTACTGACAGACTGACTAAACGACCAACTGACTGAGTTATTTATTTTTCTAGCAGCAACTTCTCGGCTTAAGATGCATCAGGCTTACTCTGAAGATAATTATAGGACTTACATGCATATAGCACCTGGTGTAAGCAATTTTCCAATAACTGAACAAATTACACAAATTTTTTTTTACCTTTTGTCTCTCAAAATTGGAAAGTTTTCCATCAATGTGCATTTTACATCAGTTTCTGTCATGTTTGAAGAAAATGGTATGTTTGTTTTAAATTGCCCTTTATCTGGTTTTTTGAGTATAGCCATTTCAATGGTGTTTGGCATAAACACCATACCATCCCTCATTCCAACATTTCCCCTCGTTAGAACCACAACGCTCTTTCTTGTAGTTGCACCAGGGTCTTTCCTCATCTGTTTTGCCAAGAGAGGTTCAATAGTAACATTCTCCATATGATTCTCAACAAAATTTGCAGCCATTGTTGGTAGATATATGTTCTGTTCAGAGATACAAGAAGGAGAGAACCACAGTCAGTGTCCCCTTGGGGACATGGAATTTTGGCTAGGAGGAGGGGTACTTCATCAAATGGGGTGCTCACTTGAGGGGAGGTGCTTACTTAAGGATTTAAGATTTAATTATCAGATTTAAATTTCCCATACTAGACATTTCTTAATCTATAGATTTATACCTCAAGATCAGACATTTGAAGAGTGGAAAGTCCACTACTTTCTTGGTCTCCAGCCAGAGCAATTGCTTCTGCTGACTCTTTCTCTGGAACTTGAGAGGAGTCAGTTTTCTCAACATTAGGCTCTTCCTGATCAGGAGATTTGAAGTTTTCTGTTTCCTGCTGGCCCCCTTCTACATCAATTCTGTCACCTGCTCCTGTCAAAGACAACTGCTGAGAAATTTCAGTGGTGACCACAGTTGTTAGGGCCTCGGAACTTCCTAAAAGCAATGCCTCTGAAATAACTATGTTCTGTGGTTGCTGAGAAGATGCACTCAAAATATCTAAGCTCTGTAGCAGAGGGGTAAGTGTTGAAGCTTGTAGTGCTGTTTGCAACCCTGGATTGTTAGAGGTAGGCAAAATTGGCATCTCCAAGCTTTGTTGAGCAGGTACTGTGTTTAAGGCATTATTTCCAGTTGTTGGTGCTGGAGCAACAGGAATCCCTCCAGCAGTGGGAAACACAATAAACGGGATTCCTCCTGAATACAAGAAGAATAACTTAACCTAAAACAGGGTTTTCTCTTTCTTAAATCAAGATTACAAAAAAAGCATGTAAAAAAGATGCTTTCCTTAGACGGTGCACCGTTGACAACATAGTTAAATTTCTTATACATTAATCTTTTAATTAGGAATTCTTTATTAATGAATTGCATATGTTCAACAGTAGAGGAAAGATGTGTATAGTAGACTGGTTTGTAAAGCTACACAAAATCAGCAGTCTTGAAGCCTTTTGTAACAATGCTACTCCCCTTTGACAGAAGAATCTAAGACAATTTGCTGCCACCTATAATTGTACAGACCAAAATTATTCATAAATGCAAACAGGAAACATTGTTTTGTTAACACCTTACCCATTGGAAGAGACTGTTGTAATAGATTATGCAGGAATAATATTGTATTACTTGGTGCCACAAGTTCTTGCTGCACATTCATGAGTGGTCTTTCATTTGATAACTCAACATCACTTTTCTCAGCACTTTTTTCAGCCAGACCTGATGCCAAATTTGAATGACTTGAAATGTTTTCAAGTGGACCATCACGTGTATCGATTACAACAGGAAGCTTTTCAGGGCTTGGTTGAGCAGGACCATCTATAGATGATAGTGACATTTTCACTGGGCTCTCACTGCTTGTCAACTCTCCACATGTTGTAATCTGGTCAAATGAACGTTTCATTCCTAACTGCTCTCTAATGGAAGATTCATATCCCAAATCCTCCACCACCTCTGATTCTCCAAAATCCCCATCCTAAAGGAAATAATACATGTGTCTTGCCATGACATCCAAAATTGGTGACGGCCAAGATATTTGTAATTAATCCCTTCTTTAATTTCTGTAAGAGAACCATTCCATGACCAACACACTTGTCTCTAGTCAAGACTGACACACTACCAACTTAAATAGTGTGAGGGGATTATCCCAACACCCTGGATTTGATGCTACTCAGCCACAGATTACCCCAAAATTTATTTTTTGGGCTTCCCTGACAAGTTGCTAGTACACATTTACACCCCTTGTATGAGTGGAAGGAACAGGGAAGTGGGATGTGCACTTCTCCCATTACTGGGGTCCAAGTTCATCTTGTATGGGTAGAATTTTATGTTGGTACTAGTCCTTGCTCCATTACGTTTTTATCTGGGTTTTCTGCTTTTCCTCCCTACACAAAAACTAACACATAGCAATAAGGCCTAAAAACAATGGATTGGGAGCTAATTTGTGGAATCGCCACCGTCTAAATCCTACTGACTTTCTCATGTTGCTCATAATGTATCTCTTCTATATCATGACCTATAGCCCCGTCACACCAAAGCTTAAACAAGTTTTAAAGGTGTTTTGTTAAACAAAGTTTAGACTTTTTTCTTCAGGGAAGCTGCCTAAACTAATGTTTTTCATCTTCAAATGTAGCAAAATGAAAATACATGCCAGTGAATGTTAGGGCTCAAACCAGGATGTTTCCATTTGCAGTCCAGTGTGCTCAAACATTAGACCATTACACGAGGTCCAGAATGGTGGCCTTGTCCTTATCACTCCCACGATTTAAACATCAATTTTCTGCACTGTTTCTCATACATTTCTTATAAGTCTACCCCTAAAAATTTGGTGTCAAATCAAGTAATATCCCATAGTTGATATTGTTCTTTCTTCTCAACAATTTTATGCTTGATACTAGATACAGATACTACTGTATAAGAAGAAATTCCTATGTTCCCAACTCTTGGGAACAAAAGGGTTCAGGGATCCACATTGCCACCTTACAATCAAAACACAACCATCAGTAAACTTCTACTGATGCCCCTGCTCTCATACCTCTTCTACAAAGACATAAAGAGCTGAATTTCCTTTTATCACTTTCTTGATGAAGCGTCCATCCCAAATGCGACGTTCACCATGAAAATACAATCTTGTTCGAAAGTCAACCACTGAAGCACAGTAAAACCTGGGAGAACAGGAATTAGTATTAACACATAGAACTTTGACAAAGTATTTGGACTTACTGACAGACTGACTAAACGACCAACTGACTGAGTTATTTATTTTTCTTGCAGCAACTTCTCGGCTTAAGATGCATCAGGCTTACTCTGAAGATAATTATAGGACTTACATGCATATAGCACCTGGTGTAAGCAATGTTCTAATAACTGAACAAATTACACAAAAAAATGTTTTACCTCCTGTCTCTCAAAATTGGAAAGTTTTCCATTAATATGGATTTTACATCGGTTTCGGTCATGTTTGAAGAAAAGTGTATGTTTGTTTTGAATTGCCCTTTATCTGGTTTTTTGAGTGAAGCCATTTCAATGGTGTTTGGCATAAACACCATACCATCCCTAACTTCAACATCTCCCCTCTTTAGAACCAAAACACTTTTTCCTGTAGCTGCATCAGGGTCTTTCCTCATCCGCTTTGCCAAGAGAGGTTCATTACAAACACTCTCCATATGATTATCAGCAGAATTTGCAGCCATTGTTTGTGGAAATATGTTCTGTTCAGAGATACAAGAAGGAGAGAACCACAGTCAGTGTCCCCTTGGAATCATGTTATCTTTAAAATCCAAGATTCAGCTAGTGATTTTCTCCTCCTACTGGCTAAAATTCCTATGTAAATCTCCTGTGCATGATTGATTTCAATCACTTCCTTAACTCCAAACATCTGTTTAGTAATTCTTAAAACTTAAAACTTGGGTAACAGTACTTGGCGTTCAATCAGGGAACACCTTCAATTGACTAGTAAGTCTACTCTTTTCCACTATTTGCTTGGTAATGTTATGGTATTATACAGGGAAGTTACAAATAAATCAAAAGGCCTTGAGCCTGTTTGTCAAAAATGCTAATGACTTAATGAGCCTGCTGCCATATTTAAAAATCAGAATCAAAAGTTATCATTTAAATATCTGTTATAGGGATCAGGACATAGCTTCCCTTTCACATTCCCTCTTTCCTTTTGTTTTTGTTTTAAATTTTACTTCTTGTAACTGCATTTTACTTAGCACACATACATACACACATGGAAATTATTTAGTCCCCAATTTGCAGAGTAGTGTCATATACCATAGAATAGTAGAAGTAATGAAGTTTAAATGCCTTGTAAAGACATAACATGGTTTCAGTAGACATCTGTTTGCTCTATCTTGTCATAGTGATGAACTGACTATGCACTCTTTTATACACAAAGGGCGCATGTTGCTTAAAAGTAAGATATTTATCAACTGTAACGCCAAAGAGATCTACTGACTAATTTACTGAGAACTTAAACTGATGGTCTGTGTTCCCTAATGGCATCCCTTGGTGTTTGCCAGTGATGAAGGGCCTACATTATAAACTCGCTTAACTTAGCCCTAATTTTTCGTCTTAATTATTGCAATCCTCTCCAATTTTTGTCAACCTTGGATTTTTTGTGCTAATTATTATCTCCTTGTTATTCATTTTTTTCGTACAAGTTTTACACCTTTCAGTGTCTATGTTTCATCGTTCCTTCTAGTACAAGGAAGAAAAGGTGAAATATCACAACTTAACTCCCCAAAGGAATATCCAGTCACTAAATCCCTTACCAAAAATTAAATGGGGGTTTAATACTGGCTTAGCGAGGTTTATGAAAGGCGAAATCGAAAGAGGAAGTCATCTCAAAAACCGCAGGAAGGTAGCTCGAGGGAGACCGTTTGATTGTATGAACGTTCGTAAAGACGACTTTTTAGAAAGATATTATAGCCATGCGATTTGACAAAAAAGGAAGTAACTAAAATACCAAGAGATCTTAAGATTTGATTAGTTTTCAAGGCGTTCATTCCAAAGATTGAGTTAGCGCGGACGTAAGAAACCATCACGTCAACAAGATACATCAAGCGACCAGCCTATTGTTCCTGACTTGGTTAAAACAGAGCGACCCTACCGATGTTTTGATAAAAAAAAAAAGGGTCTTTTATAAAAATTTTTGTCTTTTGACTAATTTAAATGAACATCTCGTAGAAAAGGGTACTAAAAAATGGTATAACTCTTACCTGAACCGATGGTAACGACAGGTAATTTAGTGTTCACAACTGAGTTGAAAACGTAAATTAGCCACTGTAAAGGGTACAACGATGTTTCAATTGTGAAGTCATATGACTGTTCTATGGCGCCGCTAAGGTTGCTGGGCCAAGATTTTGAAATTTTTTCTAGTGTTTTCTGTTCCATGTTTGTTAATTTTACGTCAGACTATGAGGTTTAGGTATTGACTCCCTCGTTCACTCACTCCATTCTAAGCTGTTCGACAATTAATTTATGCA